AATAAACTAAATTTCATATCTTTTCATAAAAATACATGAAAAAAATGATTATATGATATTTATATTATTCTTTGAGCATATTCACATCATCCATATTGTTCTAGTCCATAGTGCGACTTACTTAATTTGATTGAGCAATTTTCTCAAGAACTTGCATCCAATGTTTTGGAGAATATCACATAAATCTCACTATCAAGTGAGCCATAAAATTGAGTTGTAACATTCATTAATTGAGTTTTTCATATACAACTTGATTGATCAAGTATTGAAAAATACTTACATACATTACAATTGAACGTATCTTAAAAATCAATGTTAGATTTTTGTGAAAATCATTAATTTTCAAGGCATGTTTTGTATCTCAAAATTTCACCATTCTCATTTCATATTTACATAAAAACATTATATGTCCAATTACATCTTTAGGTGTATGAACTACAAATCCAAAATCTAACTAGCTTTACATCTTTAGATATACAAACTACATGTCCAAAAACTTTTCAATTTGACAAACAAATTTAATTTTGTCTCAATTGAGTTTTTCTATATTTTTGGTCAATGATCTCTTCCTAGAATCTTTTATAAACTTTATTTCTTAATTCTCGTTACTATTTATCACATAGTGCTATATTATATGCAAATACATTGTCAACATTAACTTTATTTTAATTCCATCGTATTTCCTTTACGACATAATTTGAGTACATAAAGTACATAATTTTAAAAATTAAAAAAATAATATAAATTACGTAAGTGAATTATAATTGAAGATTAAATAATTTGAAGTAGTTATGTTATTATCGAGATATATTAGTCTTAAAGAAGTATAAACTTAAGTAGTTACATAATTAATATCTTTTAATATTAGTATAAATAATTCGTTAACTTGATTCGTTAAAGAAAATATTATATTAGATGGTATACATATAATTATTTTAATTTAATTTAATTTTAAAAATTATGAAATAGCACAAATTCAGTGAAAAATATTTTGATTTATCTTTACTTTTTAGATATATTTTGATATTATAGTTTCGGTGAATAAAGATATCACAGAATCGTGAGTCACGGTAGTCGTTTTCGGAAATAATGAAAATGTGTTTATATATCCGTTTAAAACTTTAGCTTCAATTAGTTAGTGTTTTAGTTAGTTTCAAACTTAATTCATACATATTGAACAATTTTTTCCCCCTATTTTATTAAGTGTGAATTATAAGCAAATCTCACTTGAATCAAAAGTTGGAAAAATATTATTTTTCTAAAAAGAACTTGATTTAAAAAATTAAGATTAAATCAACTAATTTTCTAAATATAATTAAAACACACATAATTGATCCATCACCTACCTATGTCCAAAGTCACTTGAACTCGAGTTAAGAGGATACATAGCCCTTCAATTTGAAATCTAAAAATAAAGCAAAGAGACAAAAATCTATTTTGTGTTTCTATTTTACATTACATGTTCGGATGTTCCACACGGCACTTCTAATTTCTAAATTCAGATTTCTCTATGCAAAGTGTCTTTCACCAATCCTTTCCCATTTTCAAATTTGTGACTATTCAACGTTGGCTTATTCTCTCCACTTACACCTCATCAAAATTAACGCCAATATTCACAATTCAAATTTGTTGTTTCCTTACTTCGTCTCCTACACTCATCTTGACCCTCGAGATTTGAATTCCATTCAAATAAAATAGATGGGGAAAATGTATAAAAGAAAAAGGAAACAAAAGTATATATATATATATATATATATATATATATATATAAACTGTATTTTTGGATAGATAGAAATACAGTTTAAAATCTTCTTATTTAAACGAATGATAGTATATCGTCACTTTTTTTTTCCTTTCTTTTCTGAATATAAATATCGACTTTAATTAATACAAGTAATAATAATTTTTTAACTAATTTATAAATTATTTAAATTTTGAATCTTAATCTTAAATATAAAATACACTTATTTTAATATTATAAGATTTATCTTTTTATATTTGTTGATTTATAGTTTTTTTATTAACAAAATTTATTCTTACAAAAGATTGGTATTTAATAAAAGTGAATGTGAATATAAAAACACCTTCAACCTCATACTCATGTATAAAGATATTGTATATTTCTTTCATTGTTTGTTTTATTAAGTTATTCATTTAAACTAATATCCTTAAAACTTAATAAGTTTTTATAAGATTTAAAAAAATATAATTCATTTTAATATGTAACTTCGTTCTTATCGGTAATAATATATTAACTCTTCTAAAGTTTTCAGTTATATTTTGTAGTATCATATAACATTAATTTTTCACATTATTAAATTTGAGAAGACAAAAATTGATACATTGTTACATTCATTTCAGGGAATGAAACAATGCTAGTTGAAATGGTCTCATGCATAAAAAAATCTCAATATTTTATTTAGTCTTCAAGAACAATGAACCAACTTAGGATATTTTTTAATCTTTTTTTTAATATTGCTACTTTAGAAGTAAAATAGATGTATGAAAAATATAGTGTATTTTTTTAAATAATTTTCAAATTGAGAAATTATTGTAAAAGTGACATTTCTCTTTATGTGTCTTCAAACACTAATTTAATCTCAAAATATACATTGATTTTTATACTATAACAATGTGTATGATCTAAAAATAGATTTTTCGTAAAAAAAATTATTTAGAAAGCATATTTCGATAACTTCATAAGTTTTGAAAAATGAATGACTAAAACAAATATTAAAACTAATTTCTAGCAATCATATAGCATAATCATACATTCTTTTGAAAAAAAACATAACTCTTTATCGTCTACGTCTTTCGTTTATTAAAAAAAGCAAGTCAATTTTAAGAAATGAATGATTTGGTATAAACTCATAATAAAATAAATTAACATATAAAAAAAAGTGAATCTTTCTCACTATAATGATTATGGTAAAATAATTCAAAAAATCATTTGATGAAAATATATTTATGTCATTACTAGGCTGACATTAAGGAAAAAATAAATAATACTAAAAATTAGGAGAATTATTCTCCCTATAAATATTGTCTAAAAAAATTAAGAAAGCAAATGATGATTTTTTCATTAAATTCTATTATTCCTGTACAAATCATAATCAAATTATAATTGGATAATTATAAGTGATATGCATTGATCTCTCCACCAATTTAGTAATTATATAATAATAAACATATAAGAAAACACAAAACATCAATTCTATTAATAGCATTTAAAACCAAACTCTTTAAGGTTTAATAGCACAATACAGAGAGATTTAATCACATAGCATGTCAATTATTTCAACTAATTCAATTAGGAACAATATCAAATTACAAACATAGAGGACTTATGGTCCCTTCAAGAAATCACACAAAAACTTAAAAAGATTTAGAAATTGTTTCACTATCCACAATTCTTATAATTTCCCCAAATATCATTTAACAATACAATTATGACCTTGATAAAATATTTCACTTTTGGTGGTACTCTTATTTATATTAAAGGATCAAACATAATACTTATATCATATGTGTTTCTTTATCCATCCTTTTCTTTTTCACTTTTCAAACAATTTTTTCACTTTTGGTAAAATTTATTTATTTTTCACTTTTTGGACAATTTTTTTCCACTTTGGGTGAGAATTATTTTCCTTTCCACTTTTCATATGTTTTCTCACTTCTGATAAGAAAATTATTCTATAATTTTCATTTTTGCACCATTTTTTCACTTCTAGTGAGGAAAAATATTCTTCAAAGTTTTCTATTTGACAATATCTTCCTAACCATTACAAAAATATTCTTATAATTCATTTTCTTGATTTTGTCTTCAGAACCATTTGTATTTAAATAAATTTTACAATTATATAAATAATACAAATATTCTATCAAATACATAATATGAAGAATATGATTAAAGATAAAATATTATGAATAATGATAAAATATATATATATATATATATATATATAATATGTAAAATATATTATGTCAATGAATCATTGATATTTCTCACTTTTGGTTTAAGGAAAACGAAATTTATTTATTTATTTATTTAATAATATCTTTAGGACTACTTTGATTCATAATAATGTAAATAAAATAAATATTTGATAAAATACATGTTATGCAAGATGAATAACTAACATCAAAATATTGTCTTGTACGTTACAAAACCAATGGAAAAGAAAGACTATCATGTCGATAACATGTTGTGAAAAAAAAAAAGAAGATAATAGTAAAGAGAACAAATAAGAGAATATGAAAGAGAAAATTTGACTTATGTATTATTTTTGGGAGAGAACTAGCTTATTTATAAGTACATATGATAGTTGAACAATTACACATCCACTAATTAAGCCACCAATTATTATTCATAATACTTTATCTCTTTTCACTTAATCATTTTCTAACCAATTAATTCATGTTTAGAAAAGATGGATATTTATGAATTTATTTATCTTCTCCAATCTTAGAGAAAAAGTTTTTATTCAATTAGTTTCAAACATTTATTATCTTTTATCTAAAAAATTATTAACTAAATAAAATATTTTTAAAAAATATAATTAATAAAAATGACAATTAGAAGAAAATGTAAAAAAAAGAGTAAAAACAATCTTACATCAATAAACATGATAAATGAGTATGAGTAACTTGTAAATTCAAACTAATTCAATGAGTTTAGATCAATTTTTTTAAATACTTGGATCATATTTGATCCAACTCAATCAAACTCTATCATTATACAAATAGAATAACAATTTTGTATTTTTTATTTGTAACACAACTCACGATCATATATAAGTTACTACTTGATCAATCACTTATTCAGAATAATATTGTCTATTAATCTTACAAATTTTATATTTTTAAATTAATAACATCATTACAATACAACCTATTTATTTAAAATTTTATTTTATATTAATATTAGATGTTTGAGTTGATAATATCAAATAATTTATATCTATTATAAAATATTTAAAGGACCTTAAACCATACGTCGACGTCGTAAACTTGTGAAGTCATGAGTGGCCTTGATTCCTTAGCCATCAATCTGAGAGCACAAGTCAAATGCATAGATCTCTATATCAATCTCACGCTCCTCTCAGCTTTCCCTTCTTCCGTTGCTATAGAACGCACTTCTTCTCATTCACAAGCAACTATGCTTTCTTTCGTTCTCTAACTTCTCTTTTCTCTACTTTTTTGCTGATCTCTGTTCTGCACTCTCTGACGATCCCTTCTCTTCTTCCAAAACCGTTTCATCCATAAAGGTACCTCTCTTTAATTTGTTTTTATCTTTATAGCTTAAACAGTTTCCAGTTGGGACTCACATTTCCTGCAAGATTTGTTAATCTGTGAAAAATAAAATTAATGTTAATAATTTTGTGGGGTCACAATACAAGTGCAAGGAATCTGGGGATTCTGTTTTGATGCACTCTCAGCATCTTGGCTTTGTTTGTCATTTGGTTTAGGAGACGTGAATGTTTACAAACAGTAGGATAGGATTGTAAAACAACGTAATATGATTTTAATTTGTATTCGTCAAACTTAACAAACAACTTTTAGTTTTTTTTCCCTTTTTGTCTCTGTTCTCTTTGTTTTTTCAGTATAGCTAGCATTAGCAGGGTTGTAATATGGATTGGATTCACTGATCAAGCTATTTAATTTAACATATTTTTGGGTCTGGATAGAGACGGTTCAATCTGCCAATCTTTTTTTTTTTTTTTTTTTTGTACAAGATCATCAATATTGACATTTTTTTAGTTATTTTGAATTTGTTAAATTGATTTAACACATTAATTAAAATTATTGTGTCTATTATTGTTTTATGAAGAGGGATCACTCACTTCAAAATGCTACATAAACTTATTTCATTTAATAACTCATATTTTATATTAAATTTTGATGATTTAATTGTTAAATTAAAAAAATATATATATAGATTAAGTTAATAAAATTTTTAAAAATTTAAAAAATATTTAATACTCTATTTCATTAATTCAAATTTAATAAATAATTATAAAAGTATTTTATGTATTAATGTGAATAAATTAAATAAAATATTAAATAATCTCTAAATTTCTTTAATTTTTAAAAATTTAATTTATGTATTAAGAATTTTTAATTTAATAATTAAATCGTTAAAATTTAATATATAATATGAATTATTAAGTGAAGTTAGTATAAATAAATTTATTCTTGAAATAAGTAAACTTCTTCTCTTACTTTATTTATCTTGACTTTTTAAATTGTAAACTATTCTATATTTTTTTTTTCCATCAAGATTATAATAATAACAACAAAATTTAAATATGTATATTTTATCTCAACCACTACACCAACACTAATGACACATTTTACTTTAAATACTAGTAATATAACATTTTATTTCTTATTATGTCTAGCATTACCTTGTTTGATAGATAAGAAATGAGTGAGAAATATAGTTGAAAAGAATGGAAATAAGAGAATGAAAATGAGAGTCATTGTTTAATTGAGGAGAAATAAAGAGAAGATAAATTAAAAAAGTAATAAATCTCATTTTTTATTTATTTATTTCTCTCTCCTATCTCTTATATATAACTTATTTCTCATACAATTTTTACTTATTTCTTTTCAACTAAACAACCAAATTTTTACTTTATTTCTTACTCTTATTTTTTTCTTCACTTTTTATTTCTTTTTATTTTATTTCTCATATATTTCTTTCTCCACAATTTGTATTTATTTTTTACACCTGTAGTGAACTTGCCGCCTCACCACTAAATAAAATGGGATAGGATTTTCCATCACACTTTATCACTTTATCAATACTAACTGACCTGTCCTTATTTATTTTGGTCAATGACTGGCATGGTGCTGCAGATCAGTTTTATCACCTACTATATTAAAAAATTATTAGATAGTTGATACTATTAGGATCTCAATAAATTTTTATATGACAAAATTAATTCTTGTTTATAAATTGAAAATTTTGAATACTTGTCATATAAATGTTGGTAGAAATTATGAACGCGTAATAGTCTAGATTATTTAATAATTTCTCTTTTTTTTTTTTTAATGTCTCGGTTGCATATTGGCTTGTTTATGCATTTGGAGGAGCCTTTATCAACTTTTATTTAGCTTATGAAAGTAAGATATAACTGCTGGATAACGATCAGACAATTTATATTCTAATTATGCAAATCAGACGTAAAACGTGTATTCAATATGGAAGATTTGAGTTGTCCAATTTTTGCTGATTGCATGAACGTGTGGATTTGTTTTTTAGTTTTGCAAATCAGACTTAGAACATGGATAAGAAAAACAATATAAAAAAAAAAGACTTAAAACCCATTTCTCTTTTGTACCAGGAAATTGTTTACGTTCACGCCAAGACTGGTAACTAAAGATCATAAAAGGAATACTCAAAAACATTCTCTATTGTAAACAAGCAGAAATGTTACCTCAAATATTAGCCATCCCTACAATACTAGTAGTGATATTCATATTCATTCTATCTGCTGCTGTGTTACTATCAAAGCAACGCCAAGGTAATGGAAAACATCCACCTGGTCCCAAGACCCTACCAATTATTGGTAACCTCCACATGCTAGGGAAACTACCACATCGCACCCTTCAATCCCTTGCCACAAAATATGGACCTATAATGTCCTTAAAGCTAGGACAGGTTCCAGCCATAGTGATTACTTCCCCTGAAACTGCTGAACTATTCCTCAAAACCCATGACATTGCTTTTGCTAGCAGGCCTAAATCCATCTCATCCAAATACATTTCTTATGGTGGCAAGGGCTTGGTGTTTTCTGAGTATGGTACCTACTGGCGCAACATGAGGAAACTCTGCACCTTACAACTCCTTGTTGCATCAAAAGTTGAAATATTTTCTCCCTTGAGGAGTGAGCACTTGGGAGAGTTTGTTAAGTCTCTCCAAAAAAGAGCTTCATCAAGTGAGGTTGTGGACCTTAGTGACATGGTGGCGGATCTCATTGAGAATATCACCTTTAAAATGATATTGGGCCATAGTAAGGATGATAGATTCGATGTAAAGAATCTTGTTCGTGAAGTATTGATCTTGATAGGAACTTTCAATGTTTCAGATTATGTGCCCTGGGTTGGTGTGTTTGATCTTCAGGTATGAAATTCAACTACATGTAGTTAAGTACTTGGCATATCTCATATCATATTACTTTTGATTATGATCATGTAGTCTTGCTGCATTTTTAGTTAATGATCTTTCACAGTTTAGATTTCATTGTGAATTCATCGTGGAGTTAATTTATCCTTAGAGTTAAACAAATCCAACTTCTCAAGTTAACATGTACATTTGTGAAATTAAATGTGGAAGCTTCCAAAAAAACTGAAAGGACGTGCATTAATTTCAACTTATGTTCACAAGAAGTTGATTCAAACTAAAAATCTGATTGGATACAAGAAGTGTTTTTTTTTAGTTTCTTTATTGGAAATAAAGTGGTTTTTTTTTTTTTTTTTTTTATAAGATAAGCTCTCAAAAATGCTTAACAGACTCTAACCATTAAATAATCATTTAGGATGAGTTACATAACTGGTTTAATTTTGGGTTGTGACTTTCCTTATTTTATTTACTCCATTTTTTTGTCATTTATGATTGTACTTGCCCTGAAATAATGAGATACATTATGTGTGTTATTCAATCACTGGCACCTCAGGGATTAGTAAGACGAATGAAAAAAGTAAGTAAAGAATTTGACGAAATGATGGAGCTGATTATCAAAGAGCATGAACAATCTTCTGATAACGACCAGAATGGCCAACGCCAGAAGGACTTTTTGGACATATTCCTAGCACTCATGCATCAACCCATTGATCCTCAAGACCAACAGGGTCCTGTCATTGATAAAACAAATATCAAGGCTATTTTGATGACTATGATCATCGCGGCAACTGACACATCTGCTACAACAGTTGAATGGGCCATGTCAGAACTCCTAAAGTATCCAAGGGTGATGAAGAAACTCCAAGAGGAGTTGGAAAGTGCAGTGGGGATGAATAGAAAGGTGGAGGAGAGTGACATGGAAAACTTGCCTTACTTGGATTTAGTGGTGAAGGAGACACTAAGATTGCACCCGGTTACACCTTTGTTATTGCCTCGTGAGTGTCGAGAAGATGTTACTGTTGATGGTTATTGCATAAAGAAAAAGTCAAGGATCATTGTAAATGCATGGGCAATAGGAAGAGATCCTAAAGTTTGGTCAGATAATGTTGAAGTGTTTTATCCAGAGAGATTTGTAAATAACAACATAGATATTAGAGGACATGACTTTCAACTTATACCGTTTGGCTCTGGTCGCAGAGGGTGCCCAGGGATTCATTTGGGTCTTACTACTGTTAAGATTGTTCTGGCTCAATTGGTTCACTGCTTCCATTGGGAGCTTCCATTTGGCATGTCCCCTGATGACTTGGACATGAGTGAGAAGTTTGGTCTCACAATGCCAAGAAGTAAGCACTTGCTAGGTGTGCCATCTTATCGGTTAGCTGGTGAAGTTGGAAAAAAATAGATTAGGTTTATAGCTAATCTAAGGTTTATAACTACATTAGGAAAGGTTGCTGGTTTTTTGATCTTCAAAATAAGAATTGATCCCTGCTTGTAGCAGTTGGATCAAATCATCAAACTCAATGCAGCAATTGGAATGTTAATAGTACTCTTTATGTGTAATATGAAATAACTTGAACAATAAGTCTACTTCTTGCTCATCTCATTTTTATCATATTTTTTTACAAAATAAATCATTTCACGAATTTAACATTGAAATGTATTATAGAAGAATAATTTATGTCGAAGTCTGTGGCCTCTCATTTGCTTCTCTAAAACGTGACATCTTCTCATGTCATTTGACATTGACCAAAGTACATTAGAACAACCATTGGATAACAGAAATGACATTCTGCTCAAACATAATATGGAGCAACCAAAGTAGCGCAATCCAAGTCATCTCATACGCAAGCTCTGCCACACATAATGATTTTTAGTTTTTTACAATATTCCTGCAGTCTGTATACTCATTTGGTCAAACAACTCGGCACAAAAGAGTCACAATTGGATTAATTAATTCATGGTACCGAGTTCGATCTCTTTGAATAAAGTTTTGAATTTAAATTTTGTAAGTAAAAAAAAATGATTGAAATGAGAGATTTTATTAAAAATAATCAGTTAAATTTTCTTACAATAATTAATCATTATATACTTCACATTAACATGGTTAAAAAAAGTCAAAATATCCAATTTTTTAGGCGCAAACAATAGTCAAGTGCTAGTTTTACTCAATTTTGATCATTGTTGCGAATGATGGTCGAAGATTATTCCTTCCCATTTCTCAATCATTGGAGTTATGATAATATATTCATTTGATTTGCACGAAACTTCATACTTGTTTCTTGATTAGATTCGGTATTCTAACATTTGAAATTGGAGCAGAAAATCAGCATAGCACCAAATCATGGAAAAGAAATAACAGAATATTTAAACGAGCTCACTCATTTAGGAAATTGTGGCATATAGCAAATAGACATTCTGAAATAAAGAAAAATCTATATCTCTTAACAATTGTAAAAATAATTCGATCGTCACAACTGAATGCATGGAACGAAGAAAATCATGATATCATTCATAAGTTGAAAACGAAGGGTAAGATTCAATTGACGTCACAAGATTTTTCAAAGCATCATAATTCATTAATTCTTACCATAAAAGACATAAAGTAATTCATAATTCTTATAGAACCAAAAACAACCAAGCATTCCTCAAGTTCAAGGACTGTCTTTTTCTAATGATATGTTTCGATTATCTTCATCTTCAATATTCAAAACAGCGACCTCGTCACCCCTAATAATTTTACCAATGCTTTCTTTGGCTGTCTTATAGATTCGAATCAAATCCATGTAGGATTTTTCTTCTATACCAACAAGATACGTGATCTGATTTCACACGTAAAGAAATCCACAAGCACATCAAAATGAACAATAAAAATCAAGCATAGTGTGTTTGAATGAGGAATTTTAAATTTTTGGTATTTAAATTACTTTGATTTCAATTTCTATCATTTTTAAAATATTTTGTTTTGATGAGTCAATTCAAATTTTTTAAATTTTAAATTGTTAGGTTAAATATGATAATTTAATTCCATCATAGTAAAATTGGTTTTAAAAATATATTTATATGTTAAGATTTTTAAATTAAATTTTATAAAAATAAATATTAATCCATTTTTAAATATTTAATAAATTTAAATTTAATATTAAATAATATTAAATAATTTTAAAAATATTTTTGAATATCTAATAATTAAAAGAATGAAGAGATAAGATAAAATATATAGATGAAATAAGAAAAACAAATATGAGAAATTTTAAATTCTCTTATTTTTTAGAGAATTTGAAATTCTATTATTTTAAGGAATTTTACAAATGCTTCAATTTCAAATTCTTTGTAAATTTCCCATCCAAACAAAACATTTCAGCTCAAAAAATTTGAAAATTTTCAAATAAATGAATTATCCTATATAAATTCCCCATCCAAACATGATAACTTTAGTGTCTCTGGGTGAGCATTTAGTTTGTAAAGTTAACTGGTCAAAATTGATTTTAAAAATTTAAATGTTTTTATTCTAAAATATTGTCTAATGCAAATACTACTTCAAATTGTTTATACACTCAAAATTAGTTTGAAATCAAATATACAAACATTAACTTAAAATTACATCAATAGTATTTCATCATAGTACAATAATTTATTTATCATCTTATCATGTGAATCAAAGATATTCCTCTTACGGATGAATTAATTTTTTTGAGATATCTATATCAATATATTTTAAGAAAGTAAATTATAAGTCTAATCCAATTTTATAAAATTAATTTATAAATATTATTTTTCACATATATACTTATAGTTTGTAAAACTAAACATGTGAAGTGGTCAGACCCCATAGCTTCTTAAATGATAAATTAAATATACAAATATTTTCAAATTTATATATTGGAAAACTTGTAACAATGGTCCCTATTCAATGTAATCATGGATAATTTATCATGAAGCCAAGCATGGTCCCCTCTAACAAACATTATAAGTACAAGTTACAAGAATCCATTTTTCATCTTCAATAAACCAAGATCACTTCACCAAACATGTTCCCTCTAACACTAGCGATTCTCATAGCCCCCCTTGTCACATTGATATACATTCTATGCACCAGCGTGTCACGGCCAAAAGAGCCACCGCGTCCACCGGGGCCACCACGGCTACCGATAATCGGGAACCTCCACAACATGGTAGGAGGAAGCGGAACACTCCCACATCGTTCCCTGCAATCCCTGGCCAAACGTTACGGTCCCATAATGTCCCTCCAACTAGGAAATGTTCCAACGGTCGTGGTCTCGTCCCCGGAGGCCGCGGAACTGTTCCTGAAGGCCCACGACGTAGTGTTCGCGAACAGGCCCAAGTTGGAGGCGGCCCAATACACGTACGGCCCGGAGAGCGTGGCGTTCGCGGAGTACGGCGCGTACTGGCGAAGCGTGAGGAGAGTGTGCACCACGCACCTGCTGAGCGCGTCGAAGGTGGAGTCGTTCGCAGGTTTGAGGAGGCGGGAAGTGGAGGCGATGGTGCGGCGCGTGAGGGAGGCGCGTGAGGTTGTGGACGTGAGCGAGAAGGTGGGGGAAGTGTTGGAGGATATGGCATGCATGATGGTGTTGGGACGGAACAAAGATGATAGGTTTGATTTGAAGGGTATTCTTGTTGAGACCATGACTGTTTCCGGTGCTTTCAATTTCGCAGATTATTTGCCTTGGCTTCGACCCTTTGATCTTCAGGTTAGTAGTGTATGTTAAATGAAGAAACTAATTCCATCATCAAGATTAACTAGAATGAACATTAAAAAAAACATAGGATATAGTTGTATGCAATATTAAATACAAGATCACTTATTATATCGCTATGATAATATATGTAATAAAAAATTTATTAAATATTAACACATATTATGTATAAAAACTTTTGATTTTAATTAAAAACGACACTTGTAGTACCTGAAGTATCATAACCAAGTTTTGTTCTATCTTACTAATATCATGATGCTTGTCAAAGTAGCACTAGGTTGGATCTTACGTAAAATTTTAAGTTTGAATTTTCTAAATAGAAAAAAATATGGTTGAGTTCTTCAAGGATTAGTCACTTACAAAAAAACTAGTGAGACTTTATATTAATATAATAGTGACTAAAAAATAAGAAAAATTTAATTATGTGGCGTTGAAATAATAGAATTGCTATTGATATAAATAAGTTGTATAAAGGTAATATGACCAATGAATTAAATTAATAAAAAACGATAATAAAGGATAAATTTTATTGACTAACAATTTTATTGCATTAAATAAATGTTCATTTTCATGTAATTAAAAATCATTAAAAAAATATTTTAAGCATATAAATACATTTTATATTTATAATAATTTGAATTATAATATAAGATCATTATTAAATATTAATATGAGAAAAAAAATTGAAATTTGATTTAGAGACAGATAAAAAGAACAATAGTTGACAATGAAAGTTTTTGGCTAATTGAGGATAGTATGAAATCTAGCTTCAAAAGACTGAAGAAAAAAATATTAAAATTATGTGATTGAGGAAGACAAATGAGAGTTTTAATGTATTCTAATTTATAGTATATGAATAGATGAAGAAAAAAAATCATATAGTGATGCACATAAAATAAATATAAAGAATTTTTTTAGAAAAAAGTTACCTGAATCTTTTCATCAAAGAAATATGAAACTTAAAAGAACTACTTCTAATTTTTAATATATTTATTTCAATAACTAATTATGTCTTGGTGGGCCTTATTAATAGGGATTAACACGACGCTCGAAGAAAATAAGTGAAGCACTAGATAAGATGTTAGATACAATGATAGAGGAGCATCAACTATCTCCTACGACACAAGGGCACCACAAGGATTTCATTCACACGTTACTTTCCTTAAAGGACCAACCAATTCATCCCCACGATGAACATGCACATATAATTAACAAAAGGAGCATCAAGGGTATTGTGTTTGACATGATAATAGGTGCATCAGAAACATCAAGCAATGTGATTGAATGGGCCATTTCAGAACTTGTGAGGCATCCAAGAGTGATGGAAAATCTTCAAAATGAGCTAAAAAATGTGGTTGGAATAAACACCATGGTGGATGAAACCGATTTAACAAAATTAAGTTATTTGGATATGGTTGTGAAGGAGACCCTAAGATTACACCCCGTTGTGCCTCTTCTAGCCCCTCATGAATCCATGGAAGATATAGTGATTGAAGGTTACCACATTAAGAAGAAGTCACGAATTATAATAAATGCATGGGCTATAGGGAGAGACCCTAAAGCATGGTCTGAAAATGCAGAAATGTTTTACCCAGAAAGATTTTTAAACTCTAATATAGATTTTAAGGGACAAGACTTTCAACTTATACCATTTGGGTCTGGTCGTAGAAGTTGTCCAGGAATTGTAATGGGCTTGACCATAGTTAAGTTGATTTTGGCTCAATTGGTACACTGCTTCAATTGGGAACTACCTTATGGCATGAGTCATGATGAATTGGATATGAATGAAAAATTTGGGCTATCAATGCCAAGAGCAAACCATTTGCTTCTGATACCAACTTATCGTCAACTAAATGAAACGTTGGTTAATTGATTTAGACATGACACAATGGTGGTTGATCTTGTATTATAATTAAAACTAGGAGAGAATAGAGTATTGTATAATTATTTTAGCTTGTCGCCCTTGAGTACTCTTTATTGTTTGTAGTTTGAAATTTCGTCTTTTTCCATGTAAGTTTATTGATAGTTCTTTTCCAATTAATTAAGAAAGTCCCTTTTTTTTTTCTTTGTTAAATATAATGTTTTGTTAGTTAGCAATAAGACTATATACTTGAATAATTTTTTTTATAAACACTTAATAAAAAAAAGGAAATAAGAGGAAAAAATAAATTGAACTTATAATATATAAATTAATTTTACCTTATAAAAAACTTAAAACATTTTACCTTTTTATCTTCTTCTCTTACACAAAAGTTTATTCAAGCAAAACTTATGTCATGATCTTTAAATTAATCTACTTACAAAATTTCAATGAAAGTGATGTCTAAAGATTGTAAAAGGACAATTCATGAATGAGTTTGACTATCTCTCTGTTCCATTAGGTGGGACATAATTAAGGATAAGTTTAAATATAATGTATAAAAAATAAAATAAAATAAAATAAAGAACTACCATATTAATTCTTGTCAGAATTAGGAAAACTCGTTCATCTTTATAAAAAGTTTAATTTACTTGTGTATAATTTCAAACAAAGAATACTAAAATATTAACTACATTTGAATTCAATTAAAATATAAAAAATCAATAAATAACATGAATCATAAAAACAAAAGAAGAATAATAGCTAAATTGTTTCTTGATAAATTATGTAATGTCAGTTTTCATATTTAAGTGTTACTATAATTTAAATTATTTTTATTATAATAATTAAATTATATTTTAATTATTAGAGTATAAAAATATATTATGCACTATAATTAAAATACATGTAAAAAAATTAGAGTAATATATATTTATTATATACAGTGTGAAGCGAGTTCGGGCTAAGATTTCACATCTTCTTCTTGATCCTTAGTCTACAAAAAATTGATGTGTTCGGGCTTCATACAATTCATGAAGAGTATATATATATATATAAGGGGTTATATAATTACACTGGTGTAATTTTTACTAAGTATTACACTGCTCAATAATCTTATGTTAAATGTGAATTTTATAAATCCAAGCATTAGATTGAAAGTTCATATCTCTTAGATCATATATATAAAATTTTATATTAATCTAAGATGATTTGATACTTCATTTTTATAAAACAAAATTGACGTAATATATTTATTTCAAAATACACTAAAATATGAACACTTTGATTACCTTCAAGTTGTTGTTCAATTTTAACAAAATTTGATATACACGTATAAAGTGTTATGAACTTTCAATCTAACGGTTGGATTTACAAAATTCATATTTAATATAAAGTTATTGAGTAATGTAATACTTAATAAAAGTTATATTGGTATGCTTATAGCTCTCTTCCTATATATATATATATATATACATAATTTTTAATTATTAGTAAAAATTATTTTTTTTGTTTGTTTGTTAAAATCGAACGGACAAAAACTCACAAGTTCGGAATTAATTTTTATCCCTGAAAACCCTAAAATTATTGTCTTGTTATGTGTACTAGTCCTTAGAGGTCACTAGTTATCGGTAGTCACAACTCACAACTAAATAATATTTCTTTTATTTTCAATGAAAAAGACAACTAAATAATAGTATTTCTTTTATTTTCGACGAAAATGACTCATAATTTTATAAGGCTTAAATTGATGTAACTAATCGAATGGTGTAAAGATAATAACTCCTTATTTATTTATTTATTTTTAATATAACGAGATGCTTTGTACTTAGATTTGAAAGTTAATGGTTATGAAAAATTATATATATATA